TCGAGCAGAGCATAATAAAGAACACAAACATCTACAACGCAAATATCAATATGAGCACCATTCCGAAAATAAAATATGATAATCCGATGGAAATTTCACATACGCAATTTCAGCATCAATCTAATATGAAGCCAGTGACAAGCATTAAAAAAAACGCTGTAGAAACAATTTCTATTGCTGAAACACCGCAAGAAACTTTACAATTGGGACCACTTATTTCTACAGCAGTGCCAGAAATTTTACATGGCGAAAACTATGTCATCTTGAATGATAAAAATTCACAAATATTTTCACAAGCGAGTTCTAAAAAAACACTATCATCCACATCATCAATTCCTCTAAATCTTTTGCATCATCATTCACAACATACACAATCTCACAATCATTTATATAACCTTACTCATATTCCAGCACAAAAACCCATAGGTCTATCTGAGTTTCTTCGACCACCTCAGAACGCTGAACTCTTACATGCCGTCAAATTACCAGGACGACGCCCACTTCTCAGACCTCTCAAGAAGTTGCCATCGGCTAAACCTTTACTACCGTATTTGCCTCAACGTGCACCCCAAATTTCGATACAACCTGTGCCACAACCATCCGTTATAGTTAGCCATTACCGTAAGACATTTCCTGGACTGTTAAAAACATTTCTAAATGAAAAACTATTACCGATTCAATCTGTAGCTGCTTCCGTATTATTGCTTGGTGAACCAACGACTTTGAATGAACATCGGAAAAATGAAGCGACGTTGGTATATAGAAATTTAAGCTCCAGTATACCTGTACCATACAATGATACTGCACCACAAGAATCAAATATGACTATTACTTTTGCTAACAATGAAAGTCATACAAATTTAAAAAACCATGATAAACCCAAGTCAACAAAGATTAAGAATGGATTTAAGCCCGATTCAGTAGTAATAGAAAGTGGTTTTCGACCAATTATACGTACAGATGGTCGCCCTCAACATCTCATCATAAATCAAATAGTTCATCGTCGTGAAGACCCAGGATTGGAAATTGACGAAGTAATGGAGACAGACACGCTCTTCCTTACAGCGCAAAAAGTTACACAAACACAAAATTTTGAACCAATGTTTATTCCATCACCTCTAGATAGCACCAATGTAACTAATATGATACAAAATGTTGTTTCATCTCCGCCAAATTCGAATCTAAATGAGTTTAGCTTAAATATATCAGAAAACTTCCCTAATAGTGCTAAATTCCACAATTTGACAATAGAGGATAATTTATCAGAAATGAAGGATGAGCGTAGCGAAGCCACTGACAATTTTGATGGTGCAGTGACAAAAACATCCATAAAAAATGATAAACCTGACGAAGATTCATTGATTGAGCCGAGGAATCACAGTTTGTTTATCGAAGATATAATGTCCGAAATAGAACAAATCGATGATGAAAACGACCGAGAAGCTCAAGCTGCAGAGCGCATAGACACATATTATCTTCCACCAGATAATCGTAAGATTCCACATTCTAGTTTACCAAGCGGCGCTGTTGTTACATTTGACGGGAAATCCATAGTAGATGGTAATTTAGTGTTGCCACCCAAATTGGAAACTTTTGAAAGCCCAAATCCGAGGCGACAAGCACACGGTCTCTCCCAAATTGAGCAGCTCATCAGAAGTACACCTCAAGTTCAGCCGTTCCGAGGAGAGATACCACAACCAGTTATCGAGTTTTTATCGAATGAACGCTCACGAAATCGAGTCGCCGGTTCAGGTGGTGGGGGAATGGTAGGTGCAATGGGTCTTGAGAACCCGGGTCCATATTTACCTTTGACTTCGCTTTCACCACCACGAGTTCATTCAACTAAATTACAATTATTGCACTCATCCACTAATAGGCAATAGCGTAAATTAAATGGAAATGCTACCCAAAAACCACATTGAATTTAAATGACTAGGAAATTATGTATGCAATTTATATTAATAGAATACTAATTAGTTAGTTAGTTAGTTATTCTAAAATACATTGATATAATTAATTTAATTACCTTATACAGTCAAGGAAATTGATCCCACGACATTTGGGTCTAAATAACAGGAACGGCACCGGATTTTTTTTTTGGGCCAAGGACTGTTAACTCTAGTGTTTTCTGCCGCTACAAGAACAACAACATCGCTACTCTAGAACTTAAATCTCTTTTGTATCCTAAAAAATTATAAAACTAAAGTCAATCACTAAAGTTGTGCTGTTATTCTAAGTATGGCTCACAATAATTTCATTATTAAACGTTAAATTAATATGAGGGCTGTTTGCATCATATGCGTAAATAATATTTTATTTTTTCCATTTTTCCAAACTATTTTTTTTTTTTGATCATATATAAATATCTTTCGATTTTCAACATGGTCATTTGAGAAGTTTGGTTATGCAAACAGGGGAAAATCGGCTAAGAGCGAATTCCGCAAAACCGCAGCCCGAATCAGCTGATACGACCTATCTTATAAAAGCGCAATGCAAATGATCAACCAACACCGCTCCCGCCGCCCGCTTTACCGAAGGATACCATAGATTTCCACGGTTTTTGGATTTTTCCCGTAGAAACGTGTCAGCTCTCTCACAACGCAGGGTTGCCAGTCTCAATATAATTAGAAAAATAGTCTTCAATATTTTCTTAAACTATCTCAAAATCAGAGCCGAATGCTAAATGTATAAACTATTTTTAATAATTTCATTTCAGTTTTGATATTTTATATTATGAAAAATTGTTATTGAAAACTTAGATGTGTGTGAAAACTACATATGCGTATTGAGCAACATTGTTCAAATGAAAACAAAAAATAATTACTGATTTCTACGGGCTAAATTTTTGACTAATATTGTTCGCTACGGGGCGCCAACTAAGGAAAGTTTCTGCTATAAGCCTTCGCCTTAATGGCCTATTCACATACAACTTTCCTTGCTTTGGTTGACAATTCATACTCTACCAACGAAACCAGGAAAGCAAAACGCACTCATACAGAAGCAAAAAGTGTGCGAAGCAAAAGTTCTATGTTAATCGGCTGTAAGATACTCTTTCTTTCTTCTTTGTCAGCAATATCCAGAAATTAACGTATGACAATTGATGTGTTGAATACAATGCTGCCGACAGACTGCAAACGACATCTGTCAAATATTAAAATACACTCGTTCTTATGGACGGACCTATTTTGATAGCTGCACGACTACACGACGGCTGGCCGACAGTTGTCGTTCTCGCTAACTTCAATTTGATCCTATATTTGCCAACGACAGTAGGACGACAATAGAGTTGACAGTAGAATGGAAGATAGAGAGATGAGGTAGAGTGGTGATGCCACTAATATGWAAAATGTAWAATTACTCAAAGCTCTAACAAACCTGWCRTTATTTTACAAATAAAAGCATAAAATAGCTCTGTTACATCATTTGTAATAACAATTGATAATTTAAAACAAATAAATGATGCGCGGAACACAATGCTCGCGACAGACTGCAGCAGCACGACAGTGAACTGAAAACGGCGTTGTGAATCCTACTACTTGAACGTTTGTGAGAGGGCARCAACATAACAATGGCCGGCATGTACACAAAACAACGCAGTTGTCCATTTTGCATGTACACAATTTCGTTGTGGCCATACTAATACCTTGCACTTCAATGAAATTTTAATACTTTGTTCAAATTGAACTTTTTGAGCAAAAAATAACTAAATAGGCAAATTTATTTGTTTTAAATTATCAATTGTTTTTATAAATGCTGTAACAGAGCTATTTTATGCTTTTATTTGTAAAATAATGACAGGTTTGTTAGAGCTTTGAGTAATTTTACATTTTACATATTAGTGGCATCACCACTCTACCTCTACTGTCCACTCTACTGTCGTTTCCAAATATAGGCTTAACATATAGGATCAAATTGAAGTTAGCGAGAACGACAACTGTCGGCCTTACTCAAATTTGGTAAATTCAGCTAAATCCACGAAATTCTTATGCATTACAAATTTGCATTAATATGGATCAAAGGCGCAAGTAAACGTAAATTTAGCCCGCTAACCCATATTAGCGCTGTCGTCCGTCAGGGCTATTAGGGCTATCCAATTTAGAAAATAAAGCACAGCTTGCTATTGCCATTTTTCTAATATTCTTTACTTTTTCGCACACTTTTCCGCATTACAATCACTTATTGCTTTTAATTTCATTCTATTATTTTTTAACGTAGTTAATAATAACCGAATTTTTTGGTTAAACTTATATTGATTTTCCAAAAATACCAAAATTTCTATTAATAATTTATCTTATTCGTTTTTATTTCACTTTTTTTGCTCGTCTGTCAGGGATATTACTCGTTATTCAAGAATAGAACTTCTTTCTTTAATTCTTTAGTATCCAACACCCTAATGAGAACTTTGTCTGATGCGCAGTCCAGGAGCCTTATATAGTATATTTTTAACAAAATATCGACCATCGAACATTCTGGCATCCATGAATTTCGCTGTGTAGTTAATTCCGACAATTTATTGTCGATTCGATTTTGTTCTCGCATTCATGTTCCTCACAATACATAACTATATGAATCTAAAGTCACGTGTGATAAAATATGGAGGAAAACAAATTTAAGCATTCAATCAAAGTACCAACACAATATAAGCGCATTGCTGCTGTTTTAAAGGAGGCACTGGATCGAAAAAAATCACTTAAGTCTTTAATTTTCGAAGAAAAGCATGCAGTAAGTTCCGTAAATGGTTAATAGTTCTTAATATAATTTCACTAACGTGCATTGTTTCTTCAGCGTTTGCGAGGTATGCAAGCGATATTGAAGCAGTACATTGACAACCGAGGAGTAATTGATGAAGCAATCGCACAAACAAAGATTTTGGAAGAAAATCCTCGATTAAGTCCTGCTCTCTGCAAGATTCTTGTGACAGAGCTTATATTTGGTCGAAAAAAATTGATTGGTGAAAGTAAACCCGTTCTAACAGTTAGCCAATATCGCGAAAAGCTTGAAGCAAACTTAGGCGCTGCAGTTTATGATACCAAAAACACAAAAGGCAAGCAAATTTCTTATTGGGTGATTTAAGCAATACACTTTATAGTTGTACAATGAAAAAAGGCAAGTTGAATATGCTTGGAGATTTAAAAGATACATACCCATTGGAAAAACATCACGAAGGAAGCGAAGAAAAAGTCGTTGAAGATGGGCAGATTAAAGATGTCGCATTTTCAAATGACACTAGCGCTTTAGTATATTTGTGGTTAATAATCTTTAGTATTCTAATGTTCACATTTCCATTCATCACTTTTTATGGTGTGCGATCTTGGCTGCATGAGTCATTTGATATTTCTGAGTTTTATGTAAATTGCTGGGCAGTGCTTTCTTCAGTGCTTGTTGTAAATGTTATTATTTGTTTATACGTTTTCAAAGCAATAAGTGAGGAAAATAATAGCGACTTAGTAATGCAAAAACAAAATAAGAAAGATATTTAAATTAATAAAAAATAACTGCTTTGAAAATATTCTGAATTTTATTACTGGTTTACGTTTCTCAGTTTTGAAGCCTCGCTATGTACGTGTTAATACCAATTTGCTTAATATGGGTGATGTTTTTGAAATGTTGGCAATGGAGGAGTGGCGGAAAAAAAGTGTGGCCAGCTCTGGATCTTATAACGATTTCTTAGAAGCTATAAGAGAGCTTGAGGAAGATGAGTACATGGTTGACATGCATTTGGAGGACCTGTTGATATTCCATTCGAAGCAAAAGCATTACTGGGCTTGCCATCCTTATGTAAAGGAAAAAAAGCTCATGCTTCAAGATAAAGTAAGTACATTGAGTACAATTAATTGGATTAAAGCACAGCATGTAATTATGTTTAGGGGACCTGTCTTGTAGCAGAATTGCTACATCCACCCCCCGGCGCTTTCGTACTTGACATGTGTGCGGCTCCAGGAATGAAAACCATACATGTTTCTAATGTTATGAAAAATAAAGGAAAGATTTATGCTGTGGAGCAAAATAAAGAACGTTATAATCTGCTCCGTAATATGACCAATTTAGCAGGCTGTGAAATAGTCGATTCCATTAACGCGGATGCGCTCACAATTGGTAGTTTACAAGAGTTTCGATAGTTGACGTTTTGTGAATTAATAGTATTTAAATTGCAGATAGTAATCGCTGCCCAAATGTGGAATATATACTTGTTGATCCATCGTGCTCCGGATCTGGCATGCAAAATCGGATGTCTTTAGATCCAGATGAAAAAGATCCTGCACGTATAAAACGTCTTGCTGGATTACAGATTAAAATGCTTTCACATGCTTTAAAATCGTTCTCCAATGTAAAACGAGTCGTTTACTCTACGTGCTCCCTCTATGAAGAAGAAAACGAACAGGTTTGTATGAGTCTATATGGTAAATTTAAAAACTTCCTTAACAACGATTTCGTTAAAGGTTATTCAACGTTGCTTAGAGTTAAATCCTGAATTTAAATTGCTCAGTGGAAAGAAAGCTTTGCGCAATAAATGGAATAATGTGGGTAACTCTAACTACAAAAATATAGGAAAGAATTGTCTCTATACAAAACCAGATCAAGATCACGCCGATGGAATATTTATAGCAATATTCGAAAAGAGGCAATCTAAGGGAAATGATGAATAAATTGTATACGTAATAAACAAAAATATTATCTACAGAATACCATTTACCCAAAACTTCCTCATATTTGAACAGCTCAAGAAACTAAGTTTTATATTTTGAAAAAAGAAAAAATATATTGAAATGTTATTTGGATTATGATATTAAATATTCTCTTTCATATAGTGTGTGCAGTATATAAAAAAAATATCGAAATATTACTGTGTGGCCTCCTTAAGATGGTAGATATACGACTTTTTGCTCATACTAACTGCAAAAAGAGTCACAATAGAAACCTATCTATCTACCTCCACAAGAAATTTCATTGTTATTATTATATACATAACTGGAAAAGCACCGTTAGGTCTACCCTTTTCATTTATATACGGTTGTGTCGATAGACCAAAAACAATTTGTCAAAAGTAATTGGACCCATAACTCAAAATCAGCTCTTTTGTTTTGTATTCTTGTTTTTATGATTCAGAAATAAATATTTGATCCCGTAAAGCATTTCCAAAAATAATCAAAATGTAAACAGAAAATTCATATGAGAAACAAAAAATAACTGCTTTTGGTATTATGGATACAAACACGTCTTTAGTAAGTCCGTATCAAAAAAACCTGATTTGAATGGAATTAGGATTCGAATCAATATGATGATTGGACGCGTTTTGTAACTTCACTTTATTACATATAAATATAACATGGTTTTACATTCAATTATTTCATACTTGTGTGTGTACGTACATATGTATACTTTTCTAATAAAACAAAATATAAGTATTCCATATTCCATATAATTTAAATGCTTGCCTAAAACAAAACTCAATCGAAATTTCAAATTTTAATTGGGAAATGTACTTCACGTACTAAACTTCTTTGCGTATATACGAAAGAAACGAGCCCTGTATGTTTAGTTTTTAATTAAATAAAAAAAACTATCAGAATTCTTTAACACATAATGAGAGTGTAAATATATATAAACGTATGTATGCCTACTTTTACCGATCTTATTTGTTTGGTAGATAATTAACGAGTCTACATTTTTCAAATTACATAATAAAAATTATTAAAAATTAATTTTACCATACTGTAATATTTTTAGTAAATATGTTGAGAGTTGTGGAATATTTAGACTCTTAAATAAACTTTAAGTTCAATTTAAATTTTCATATATTATTATGTATGTCTTTTTAATATAGTTACTAAAATCGAATACGTTTCACGTGAAAATAAAATTAGAGACTTTTTATTCAAGTCGATAGAGAAGAAACAATTGTATTTCTTTTTCCATCTAAATAATCCAGGGGTTGTCATATATAAATACTTTCATCTATACGTTCATTCCTTGCTTAAAGTACAAGTTTTTTGCTAAACGTAAGGATTCTGCCTTAACTGCGTCTTCCATCGTAATAATCGGTTTTTGGGGGCAATATTTAACTGTGTGCGCCTTATCTCCGGAAGCCTTGCAAATCGGGCATATATAAGTGCGTAATTTTGGGCAAAGAACACGTCCTAGTGAATCACGTACTGCATGACTCTTCACCACAGCTTCTGGTTCGTTGTTATTTTCGCAGAATACGCAATGTTTTACTGCAGACTGTAAAATTATACAATAATTAAATTTGTTCAGGTAATTAATCTATATCTAAAAAGTAAAAAGATCGCATATAACTTACTCTCACAACCCTAATATTGACCGAAGTAATAAAAATACTAAATATTTATATATTTTATGAACATGCGTCGAATGTGATACCTTACTCTATTACCGCAGTGATTGATACTCGAATATCCTCTATGTAATTACACACATGCATACTATTAACAGTAAATATATTTTTTATATTTAAATGTTTGTCGATGATGTTAAGCAACTTTAAAATTTTGGGTGATCTGTTTGATTGGTGTTGTTGTGACGATTATGTACACACTGCTTGGAAGAAAGCAATAAAGTAACTTTCATCGAAATCACTTAGCGGTTGGTCCTGGAAAGGACCTCTTTCGACGGGTTCGGGCCATAGGGAGAGGGGTGTTAAGTGAGTTCATTGGCCATGGAAAGAGGTGATTAATGTCATACGGGAACTCACTGCATGTAGGACATGGGTTTTTATGTCTGGGGCTAGGCTATTCTGAATAAATAGAAGCGTAACCTGATACAATATCCAGAACGAAGTTGCACAAGATAAGGCACAACCGAAGACTGTTATATGGACGATATGACCGGTTTGAATCGGTAAATAATAAGTGTTTCGTTTGATAAACACATACGAACTTTAATGTTTCCAAAAGACAGAACTGAAATATACCCTTTTTAATTAGATTCATTTGTCGGTTTTACAAATAATCAAAAACAAGTTATAAAAAATAAGATTAAAATTCTTTAACTAAATATTCCTTTTACTTATATAAAAATTTACTCACAAATTTATCCAACTTCGAACCGCCAAATCTTTTTTGACTTTTCTTAATAGTTTGAGCGTTATAGGCGATATTGGCTGCAGCAGCCACAGTTGCGGCAGTAGCAGTATCGGTTATTGAAACCGCTGCAGTATTCATTTTTTGGTTCTGCAACTGGACGCCATTTTTATAATTTTGTGGTGGCGCAGACATCATCCATAAATTTGGATCAAAATAATGTTTCAAAACAGAAACATTATTATTGGTGATACATGGATAAGCCGCGCCTTTGTTGTTAGTTTCATAATTCACAGTACTAAAATTCCAATTACATTGACTACTGAAATCACTGCAAAAATATTTGTTGCTACTATTACATGACTCTAGATGAGATGTTGCCTTCAATGTTTTTCCTTCTTCAAATGAATTCGAATCGTCAGTGACATATCCATTGCAATAAAAATCATCCATTATGTCACACACTGGCGATCCTCTGCCTGAATTTAACGAATCTGTAAAAAAAAAAAATTAATACAGATAAATAAAATTGGAGTGCCTGTAAGTGTAAAAAATTCGCTTCTTATTAAATTCTTATAGTTGTATACACAGTACGTACAAAAATTACATTTTATTTTAATCTTTGTCTGTTTGTTTCGGCTAATGTATGAAACAGCTGAAGCAATTCCGATGGGAGATAGTTGTTTAATAGAGAGTAACTTGTTACTTTTTATACTCTTGCAACCTGTTGCTGCAGAGCATAATAGTTTTGTTCACCTAACGGTTATACGTATCACCTAAAACTAAGCAAGATACTATTAGGTTGTCAAAAAAAGTCTTGCGGTATTTCGAAGATGCGCCACGCTTCGGAAGGCCTGTCGTCGAAAATTGCGATAAAATCGCTGAATTGGTCTCAAGAGACCGGCATAGTAGCAGCCGTAGCATCGGTCAAGAGCTGGGCATGAGTCATCAAAAAAAATTTTATGGACAATTGAAAATTCAATAAAACTACCGCAAAACTTTTTTGACAACCTAATATACATATGTATGTATAGGGTCATATATGTATATACATATATAAATGTTCAAGATGACGAGGAAATTTGAAATCCATGTAACTGTCTCTCTGTCCGTCCGTGCGAGCTATGACTTGAGTAAAAAATGGTATTACGAGTTCGGAACCGAAAACCTATAAAGTGCCCTAAGCACTAAATTGCGCTATGAAAATGTAATTTGTACAGGAGATCGCTGTAGCAAGGTGGGCGTGGCCACTTGATTCTTTCACTTTCCAGTACACAAAGCAAGAAATAATGGCCTTCTCTATCAATGTCACTTTTGCTAAGCTCCGGAAAGTAAGTGCATATGAATGTACCCTTATTGGATGGTATTACCATCGTTCATTCGTTTTCTGGTCTTTTCTATTTGTTTTTGGGATGTCAAACACTTTGCCAGCAGAAACTTTGCTAACGATTAAAATTGTAAAAGTT